GCCAGGTTGGTTGCAGGCATAAAACCCCCCTGACCTAAGGTCAGCCTGGTCGGTTGCCAGCGTAAAAACCCCCTGACTTAAGGGCCACATGGGAGCAGAGGTTTACACACAAATTTCTGTATGCCCTAGAGGTTTCTTAACTATGCCTTGTTTCAGGGATCAAAGTAACTGCCTCCAAATAGCAAGGTCAGTAGAACAGACTTTCAAACCATCTCTTTCCTCAGTAGTCTCAGGCTTCATCAAATAAGAACAAAAGAAGTAATGGCTAACAACATGTTCTCCATTAAGTTATGTTAAACAGGGTTATGTTGAAAGGATTATGCTTAAAGATGTATGTTGGGTGGATTATCAGATTACTAGGGAGGAGCTACTTACAAGGTGGGTAGTCACAAGATGTTCAAATGGATTAATGAAGTCATTGATGGCCAATGCATGTGCAGAGGAAAGTCATTGATGTTCGATGCACAAATGCAGAGGAATTGTAATGAATGTTAATGAGGTCATTGCTGTACAGTGCGCATGCACAAGATTAATTATATAAACCAACTGTAAATAAAGAAAGCTCACCATTTTGCCTGAGCGAGCAAATGGTCACCTTTATTTAAAAAAAAATTCAAAAAACCAGCCTAATCCTCCGGAAAACCCCTCCCCAAGAAAACCCAAAAACAAAAACCAATACGCAAAAACAAACCCAAAACCAACCCAACTCCCAATTTTGGAAAAAAAAGTCCCCTGGGAAAAAAGCAAGACCCAACAGTTTCCTTACTGGCTTTAGCTGTTTTCACACTAAAAAGACAGAGTCAGGTAGTTACAACAGAAATTATATGTATATAGGCCACAAATCTTAAAATATTCAAAATCTGTCCTTCACGCAAAAATTTTGCCAATCCTTGAACTAGACAGTGGCAGCCATCCTCTCAGTTGTTACCATCAGGAAGATGTGAGCCCTTAATGGAAACTTGTAACACCCCAGGAATGAGTGGGGATAAGGGAAGGCAGGGACTGGAACTGGAGAGGAAAGACTATAGAATAAGGTTCTGGTAGGACAGATCTTCCTATGTAGAAGAAAGACTTTCTCTCTGTCCAGTGAGTTAGGACTGGCATCAGAGGAAGTTAGGAAGATACTGCTACTTGTCAGAAGATTGGAATTCTTTTGCACAGTAAGTTTCTATTACTCTACTTTAAAAAAAAAAATTGTGCAGCAAAGAGTATTTTTTTATAATGCATAATTATGCGAGAGGAAGTCTATACCTCAGGTTTTGTAGCTGGGAGGGCGCACACGATTCAAATCAGAGCTGATGGCCCTCTACGGGGCTGGAACACCCTGAAGTGCAGGACGTAATCCACAGCCCACACAGCCTCTGGAGCCCTGTCCCTGGCAGCCTGATGATGAATGAGTAAACCGGAAAGACGTTTCATTGACTGCCTTGCAGTCCTGTGAGCACGGTGCAGTCAATAAATATTTATTGAATGTGTTTTCCTAGGGCGCCCAGCACTTGCTCAGTGATATCTTATAAGTAAATAAGCGAGAACTGTTCAGGGCGCTTCCAAATAAATATATAAATGTATGCTAATGGGATCCAAGCTAGGAATTGGGAGTAAGAAAATATTCATCCATCTGTGTATGAGTTATCTAAATGGTGCTAGCTTTGGGGTAAATAAGAAAGAAGTATGTTAAACAAGCCCAGAAGTGGAGGATTACAAAACAGACAGAAGAAAGGAAGGGAAGGTGGGAGGAAAGAAAAAAAGGAAGGAAGAAAGGAAGAGGCAGGGAAGGAGGCGGAGAAGAAGATAAATGCCGCTGTTTTTAGCATATAAAAATACAAACATTTTTAAAGCCCATCTTTATTCTCTCTGGTTGTATGTGAGTAATAATTTCATCTGTGACTAAAATGGCTCCTATACTCAAGAAGCGGCAGAGAGCTATCCGAAATGGGTTCCCAAATTGCAATTTTTGCAACAAAGACAAAATATGGCTTTCTGGCACCCATTGTAGCTACTGTGCCAGTATGTTGATGTAATCCTTCTTAAGCCCAGTCACACCAGATTCTGCATGGTGTATTGCCAATCGGAGTAAGGATTCACTTATTGAAGACTGAGTATTTATCTGGAGTTAGAAACAAATTAAAATCTTACATCTGAGATAATATTAAAAGAGGGCAATGCAATTACCATGTTCTCCCCTATGCATCCTCCTCAAGCTCCTACGAAGCCCGAGAATGCACAGACGCCTGTGAGGACTGGCGACTCGGCAGCACTGGGGGTTGCTGGCAGTGAAGTAAGGCATCTTCGTGGCTACATGTCCAGCTTTGTCAGGGAAAACAACTGCTTTTGGGAAAGAATCCAATAAGCACTCCTTCAATTTTACTGCAAACACTCAGAGACTCTGGCCATGACCATTCAGGTCCAGCCCTTCACTAAATTGGAAAGAAGGCAAAGATAATAGTTGCCCAGATCTACCTCCAAGAACTCTGATTGTGGGTTTCCCCACGCACCTCTACCCCACAGCTGAAGAGAAAACCAAGTCCCCATCACTACTGGGCAGTGAGAAAGACAAAGGTCCCAGAGAGACATCAAGACTTCTCAGGGTTTTCTGCAGGAGACCAGTCCAGAGATGGAAGGCCACCTAGCCTACTCCCTTGGCAGTAGCTGTGGTCCTTTGGGGTAACATAAGGAAGACACACAAGGCTTGGTTTGCAAAATTTTGATTTTTGTGGAGGTTTTTTGCTCAGTTTTCTGAAGAAGGATGATTTGCCACATTTGAGAGTTTTGACACAGCATTTGCATGATGGACTTTATAGCTACAACTCAACAAAGGAAACTTGCCCAAAGATTTATAGATTACTATTCACCCCCACCATACTACGTAGTATCTTTTCCAAGCCTCTTCCTTTTTTTTTTCTTTTTTTTTTTTTTTATGAGTAAACCGGAAAGACGTTTCATTGACTGCC